GTTTTTATTTGTCGAATTCCAGTGTTCTGCAACTCTATAGGAGGGTAAATAGATGACCTAAAACAATGGACTAAGACAAAAATATAAGTAGTAGAACTGACAATAAGTCAATGACAACATTTTTAAGACGTTAAACTTACCATGTCACTTTCTTCTCCCTCAAACATGTAAGTAGTGTCCTTTCTTTACTCTATCAGCCTGTGAGTAATTATTAGATAATAGAATTGTCTACATTAGTGGGATAGAGTACAGCGATAAAATGACTGGCCATCTAAAGAGAGTTGCAGTCCATACACACATCATTGTTTTCCACATTTAGATTGTCTGATTCCTATCAAACACCAATATTTTTCCTTTTTAACCAGTTAATTACTTAAGAAATTTATAGCAGCACTAAACGGAGGTTTCTGATAATGGAGGAAGGAGGGAAAAATGGTGGAAATGAAAGGCATGAATATACCTAATAGACTGGAGTACAATGCAACTCTCTTCAGATGCACAATTCGTCAGGTACCCAGCAGGCCAGCATAGTAGTTGTGAAGCTCAAGTCAGTGTATTGTTGGGCAGTCACAGAATCCGCAGCTAACAGAGTACATCTTTTGAAGTCACAAAATATACCCTTTTGACAATGAAAGATTCATCAGAAACATTTAATGGCAAAATATACCATCAAACAATTACATTGCATCCGAAAGCAAAACATGAATAATTTAAAGAAAAATACTTTCTGCAATTGCTACCCTGCTCGCATTGGATGAAATGCCAGATCCAATATCCCTAAAACATATAGCTTTCATTAGTAATACGGTTTGCTAACAGCTCCAGCCATAAATGAGCAAGGAACAATTAGTGTACATAGTGATAGGATTAGCACCTTGTTCTTGCACCAATGAGACGGCACGGTCCTGGATCCGACAGCCCTGGCCCAGACCCCGCTGTGGAGGAGCTATAGGTGGTGGTGAGGACCATGGCCTGTTGGGGCGGCACTAGGTAGGTACGGTGCGTGGGGGCGCCGTCGGCGCTGGATGAATCTGGGTTGGGGAGGGCAAACTGGGCTCCGAGGTGTGGGCTTGGAGATGCGCTCGTGAACGGACGGGGTGTCGACAGGGAGACGAGATCGATCTACAGATGAACTCACCTCCTTGGCGTGTTCGCGGCACTCCACCTCCTCGAGTAGGCCACCCGCGCCTAGTACACCCCTGAGCCCGGGCCAAGGCCGGTTCCGCGCCGAAACCCTAGGTCGGCGTGGCGGCGGGGCCGGAGGCCGGCCGCCCAGGCCGAGGTGCCGCTCCGTGGGGAGGAGAGGTGGAGGCGGTGCTCGGCGTTGTCGACGTCGGCGCGCGCATGGCGGAGGCGACGGTAGAGGGCGACAGCAGATCTGGTGCGGGATCCCCGCCGCCACAACCTCGTCGCCCATCTCCCTCCCTCTAGATCTCTCCCGTGGAGGGCCACGCCCAGCGCTCGCTCTCCAGATTGCCTGCCTCCTCACCAGATATGGCCTCCGTGGAGCCGTCGTGGTTGGGGGGGAGGGGGAGGCGCGGTGGCAGCGGCGAGGAGGAAGAGAGGTGGCGACGACGGCAGAGGGAGAGGAAGAGGGCTGCAGATTCAGTCGGATTCGCTACCCGTGTACCATAGCGGAGGGAGAGGAAGAGGAGAGGGGATCCACCGGGGAGAGAGAGGAGAGAGGATGGGGCAGAAGTGACGACGGGCTTGATAAGTGTGGACCTGACCTCTTCAGTTTCACCGGATTAGATAATTTTTTTGGGTCCGTGCTCATCCAGCGGCCACGAATTTGTAGGGGTGGCTCGTATTACCAGCCGCCCCTACTGTGTTATTTGTAGGTGCGGCTGCTGTGCTGGAGCCTGGGCACATCACTGTAGGGGTGGCTCCAATGTCAGCTGCCCCTAAAAAAATATTTTCGTTGCTACAAACTGTTTTTCACGTAGTGCGTGCTGCGGAAGATGGAATCGCCAGAAATCCAATTTCAGTGCAGCATGTATGTCGACGACGTGATTCTATTCATCCGACGGCTTGATTCTTACACCCGTGACCTATGGCACCGCATCCTCCAAGTCCTAGGCCGGCAATTACCACAACCTACATTGACAACCTTGAGCTGGTGGAAGCGCCTTCGGTCCGATTGCGACAACCTGCTGCGATCCGGCATGGACTCCTTGTTCACCCTTGTCTCTTGGCATGTGTGTGGAAAGTGCGCAACGCCAGATGCTTCGGCGGTTCTTCGTCCTTAGTGAACGACCTCCTACAGATCATCAAGGTCGAAGGACATCGAGGGATACAAGCCGGCACGAAGGGGCTCAGAAGCTTGGTGGGGCGGTAATGGTGTATCGTCCTTTCAGTCTACTTTAATTTGGTTGTTTATGTCATCATGTAGCCCTTAATTTAGATCCGGCGTGGCCTTAGGTCACAATCTCTTGTAACGTAAACTTGCTTTCTTCTAATACAATGGTAATACACCAATTTGGCCACTATTAGTAGATAAAATGATTTCTTTCACTTCACAATCCCAAATAATCCGTTTAGGAGTCCGTACATAAAGATTTCATTTCATTTCTTCAATATGCTCTCCTCTTCTAAGTTTATAGCTTTCGTGCTAGCTTCATCGATGTTCCCCACTAAATAAAAACCTGTTTGGTAGGCCGTCTAATTCTCCGAAAAGGATTAGTTGAAATCCCCTAATTGTTTCTGCAAGACCAACATACTTTTCTGGAGAACCGGTAAAAACTTCTGCCACAAAGAACGGTTGTGATAACAACCGCTCGATTTTTCGTGCTCTTGCTACAGTTAAACGATCCTCCTCCGATAATTCATCCAATCCTCGTGCGTATTCGAGAAAAAGAATGTGTGCAGTGCAAACTCGTAGGGTTCTTTGTTAGTTGGGCTTTAGCTGGTCCCAACAGTTTTTGAGATGTAGCTCCTGTCAGTGGGAAAACATATATTTTTTTAATAGAATAGGAGGGGTTTCCCTCTACTGGATTTTATTGAAAACTAACAAATATGTCAGTACGTTTCAATGGGAGAAAAAAACTATCAAGCATTCATGCAAAATGATAACGTGAATGGTACATATCTACTTATTTTTATCCTTTTATAATTTTATTTTACGATGATCGTGTAATCCATAATATAAGTCAACGCTAACAATAAATGACAATGTCTTATTAAACCTGTATCCAATTAAAATAAAACAAAGCGCATAATTATTTAGCTATAAACATATCAAACTTTAATTTTTCATGGTAACCATGTGTTTCTATAACTCAATATAGACCTTTCTAGCTTTTTGATGCATTATATCAACCTCCGTAATTTTTTTTATCGATGTGTCAAGGATAGGTCTGTCTACCAATGATTATGACCTCTCTTGAATTTTCACACGGCAGTCCTCGTCGGAAATTACATAAATACATTTGTTTAGATTTCATTAGATAATAATCTCAAGATTTTGGTTCACAAAATAATTAATTGTACCGTTGACTAATCCATATTTTAATAAAAATAAATTTGTTTCTAATCAAAACTACATAAGATGGTGTAAATCCTTCTGCTCAAATCAAAACTTAATGTACAAACAAACATATAATAAGTGCTGAAAAATAGGAGTTACGCACTGGGGCTTGCCTTGGGTAGGACTGAACAGCGGAAAGTGAGTGAAGGCTTCAGGAACACCGATGATGAGGACCTCCTCCTCGTATTCCTCGGCCACCTCCGCATATTTAGGGTCTGCCTCTGGCGCGTTCTCGGTCATCGCCGAACCTATGTGCGTGCAACATATGTAAGGATGATTTAACACACCTATAGACAAAGCACAACCTAACAAGATTCATAACATCTATGGATATATCATATTTTTATGAAGCTAACAAAACTGGTTTGGCATTTTTTTGATTTTTTATGATTTTTGACGAATTTTACAAGATCTCTGTTTTTATAGAAAAAGAGAAAAACAAAAGAAAAGGAAAAAGGCTTGCATGAGCTTGATCCAGCTCACAACGAAGCCGGCCCAATTGCAAGGATTTAGCCCAGGTCGAAAAAAGAAGCCCTCAAGGATAGGCTCATTCGGTTCTAGACATTTTACATCAGGAACCCTGATATATTTCAAAAACTATTAAGACTCTCTCACATTTTCTTTCTCTCTAGCATCTTTACATCTGTAACCCCGTATTTCTTTCTATTCTCTACCCCACTCCTGAGCTCCGTTGGCAACCGTGAAAATAGAAAAGAAATCGGCACAGACACCGCTGAGCCTGGCGAGACCGAGTCGGTGATGGGGGCCGGACGAAAAAAAAAGAAGCCAGAAATTTTGTCTCTTTAGTATTAAGTATAGATATAGATATAGATATAGATTAAAAGCATGGTGTTCCACTGATTACAATTAAGAAACAAAATAGGAAACGAAAAAAATTAGTTACACATGGGCTTCTAACCATGAATCCAACATTGGTTTAAATCTAGTTTTTGCTCTTAGCTTAACCAGAGCAAGCTCCTGCCAGAAAACATATATTGCTGCCCTAGAACAATTGCTGGTTTATAGAGTTCTGTTGAACAAAATATTTTCACAATTGACCAAAGTCAATGAACTAGAGGCAGATCTGAACTGAAAGAGATCTACCATTCATCAGACTATGGTTAGCAGCATCTCAGATCTCTGAGCCAAAAGATGCAACATGGCAACGTGCCTTGAATAATGTGACAAAGTAAACGATCGTGCAAATAATTAAGCTGAGACTAGCCGCCAAAAACTACACGAGTAGATCTTAGATCTCTTGAAAGAAAAGAAGCACTGGCTGCCAGTGCCAGCATAGGAATTGAAAAGGCTGTCACTAGATCCTTTTGTTTAAAGACCATTTGGAGCAGAAACCGGAGAAGATCAGCTGATCAGGTTATACATCCGCGAGTAGTCGTCCCAGCTGCGCCACATCTCCCTCTCCTCTCTGTAACGTGCACCCGGCCTAGTGTGTGCGAGCAGAGCTTTGCCAGGAATGGCGAGAGCTGCGTTGGTCCTCCCTGCTGCTCTACTGCTGTGCCTTGCATTGGCCGACCGTGCCGATGCTGCGAGGAAGATGGTTGGGGTCTACGAGCTCAAGAACAAGAAGGGGGATTTCTCCATCAAGGTCACCAACTGGGGAGCCACCCTCATGTCTGTCATCGTTCCTGACTCCAAAGGTATGCATGGTTTCCTTAGCTTCCAGCAAGAGTCCTTTTGCATAATGCATGCTTTGTGACTGCATCATAAAGCTGGTTTACATGCTCATGTGAATTTTCTTGCTGCAGGGAACTTGGCTGATGTCGTCCTTGGGTATGACACTATTGCTGAGTATGTGGTAAGATCACAGATCTCTCTATTCTCACACTCTAGAGCTTCCTCTTCCTCCGGTGTTCAACACGGCAGTATTCTGTTCAAACAGAACGGTTCTTCTTACTTCGGGGCGCTGGTCGGCCGCGTGGCCAACAGAGTCGCCAAGGGCCGCTTCGTGCTCGACGGCAAAGCCTACCGCCTGTACATCAACGACGGCAAGAACGCACTCCACGGTACGCTCTCGATCGTTCTCAGGTCACTCTCGTTCTATCTTCCTTGGATTCACTAGCTAGCTTAGGTTCCAGGAGTATTGTGGCCAGGAACCCCGGTTTGCTTGCATAATTTTATATAAGTTTTGATCATCTGGATTGATTCCTGGTGGAATCCAGAGTAACCGAACAGGGCCTTAGTCTCGCCGTCGCTGTTCATCAGGTGGCCACAGGGGTTTCAGCAAGGTCATCTGGACGGTGAAGGAGTACGTGCCTGACTGCGACTCCCCTTACATCACCTTCTACTACCACAGCTTCGACGGAGAGCAAGGTAAACGAACGCAAAACGTGCCAAAAAAAACAATATATATTTTAGTTAACTAGCTTCTGACCTTGTGCCCGGCCAGTTAGTGCCGATGATGATGAGCTGACTTTGCACTTGTTCGAATCGCATCGCATCGTGCTGCACATGCTGACGCTCAAATCAAGTGCAGGATTCCCGGGCGACCTGGACGTGTACGTAACGTACCAGCTGTACAGCCCCTACGACCTGAGCCTGCACATGAACGCGACGGCGCTCAACAAGGCGACGCCGGTGAACCTGGTGAACCACGCGTACTGGAACCTGGGCGGCCACGGCAGCGGCGACGTCCTGGGCCACCTGATCCAGGTGTTGGCGTCGCAGTACACGCCCGTGGACCAGTCGATGATCCCGACGGGGAAGGTCGCGGGCGTCGCCGGCACGCCCTACGACCTGCGCCGGCTCACCCCCGTCGGCGCCCGCATCAACCTCGCCTCCGGCGGCGGCGCGGTGGGTTACGACCTCAACTACGCGGTGGCGGTGCACGGGCAGGGGGAGTTCACGCAGGTGGCGTTCGTCCGGGACCCGGCGTCCGGGCGGGCGTTCGAGCTGTGGGCGAACCAGCCCGGGGTGCAGCTCTACACCAGCAACTGGCTCAAGGACGAGAAGGGCAAGGGCGGCAAGGTGTACCAGAAGTACGGCGCGCTGTGCCTGGAGACGCAGGCGTTCCCCGACGCAGTCAACCACCCCAACTTCCCGTCGGAGATCGTCAGGCCCGGCGGGGTGTACAGGCACGACATGCTCTTCAAGTTCTCCTCCTAATCGTTACTAGTCCGTGCCTTCTTCGTGGCACCTTAAGGTCAGCGTGTGTCGTAGGAATAAGGTCTGCGCGAGTAGCTGTGTGTCGTAGGAATAATTAAGGCCAGCGTGCCAAAATGCAGTGATGTACAAGAGGTGGCTCCTGCTATCTAGCAGTGATTGTGCAATGAAGAAACTTGCGTGGCGCGTGGACAATCTTGCTTGTGATGAATTTCTTTTAGCTGCGTCCGTCGTCGCTGTTAATTACAACAAAGGTTGTCGATCGCGATTTTTTTTTCTCTGTGTCTGCCTTTGTGGCAGGTGCTCGGGCTAACACAGCAACCAAACCGTGCACACCGTGTGTTGACAAACTTGCGTCTTGTATATATATTTTGATGAGGAAGAATAGCTAATTTTGTCCCCTAACTTTGACGGGAGGAGGTTGGGATGTTGTTGCTCGATCGACGGAGAGGGGCGTCGTCCAGGAGGGCCTGACCGAGACATGCGCTGATGATGAGGATGGCGTGGTGATGCCGGGGAGGGGCCGGAAGAGAGTGCTGGCGAGGTCTAGGCGGAGGCGCCACGACGCTAGAGAAACACATGCCAAACATGTCATCCACGGTAATAAGAAGCAATCCAAGGAAGGGTGGGGGAAGAAAAAAAGAGATCAATCACACATGACACATCGCTGGAATCAAGCAAAAAAGAAAACAATCATATTTCTTGAGAAAACAATCAAATATCTTGAGAAAGCAATAAATCAATTCACAAAGTTGGGCTGGCTCAGTGTGCCGTATACATGCAGGGAGGTTTTGTGTCGCTTACCATGATAGATTGTACATATAAAGAGGACAAGGTGAATACGTGCAAAGAGTAAAGTTTATTCCCTGCAAGACTATTACGCCTCCTCTCATTTTGTTTTATTTTTTGAACAGAAGCAGACCTTTATTGATCTTCATAATAAGTACAAACGCCATCGTGTGGATAAATTAACCAAACATGTCTACCATAATCAACATAAATACTACTTCTAGCTAAATTATGGGAATCAACATTTGATTGCCTCCCTTTATGGATAAAATCAACAAAACTAAACTTGTGTGATCTAGCTCTGATCTCCTGGACTACATGTCCATAAGTGCCCTTGCTTCCTTCCCGAATGCTCCTAATAACTCCAGCATTGTCACACGCTAGTCTAAAACCATGCAGAATCAAATCAGCCGGCAAACGTGAGACCTTCTTTACACGCGATGGCCTCTATCTTGTCTGGTTCCATTCGACCCTCCAGAACCACAAGCCAAGGCACCCAGGAATTTCCCTTAAATCTCGAGCAACAGCCGCTGCGACGACCTTTGCTGAATTCTTGGCCAAAGCTGCGTCAACATTTATATCTTCATCAGTTCGCTTGGTGGGGGATCCACCCAGCCGGGCTTGGTTGTGCTTCAAGCCACGCCCTTCCTTGCGACAATGTTGAGATTTGCATTAAGTAGATTCGTAATCAAAATGATCCACCGAGCCAGGCTTTCTTGCCCATTTTTTCTAGCGTCATTGGGATTTATGTGGAAAGGAAATTACATCAGTAGTCTCGCGTGTATTGAGTGATGAAGATGACCTGGCTCTGATAAATGATATGTTTAGCATTCTAAATCCCAAAGGTTGCTAGTCAGTAGGAGTTAGGTCAATTCAGACCGATTAGTCTATGCAATCTTATCTTCAAGATAGTGTCGAAGGTTGTAGCCAACAGGTTGAAAGTGGCGCTTCCTAAGATCATCTCTAAAGAGCAATTAGCTTTTGTTCCGGGTAGGCTTATTACAGATAATATATTCACTGCTTATGAGTGTTTACATTTTATGAAGCAAAAGAAAGCCTGCGACCTCAGGTGTTGTGCATTAAAGTTGGATATGAAGAAAGCTTATGACCATATTCAATGGAACTATTTACAGGCAATTATGCTTAAACTCGGCTTCCATCAATTTATGGGTACAGTTGGTCATGAGGCTAGTCACCTCAGTTTCATTTTTGGTTCTCCTGAATGGAGAATGTTTGAGCAGTTTTAAGCCGTCGATAGGAATTCGCCAGGAGGATCCTATCTCTCCTTATTTATTTTTGATAGCAGAGGGCCCTTCGTGTCTATTAAAATCCCGTTCACAGTCATTAGAGCTCAGTGGAATTAAAGTGGCGCTGTCAGCTCCTATGGTCAGTTACCTTCTCTTTGCGGATGCAATCTGCTGTTTTTCAGAACTAACCGGGAGAGTGCCTTGGTGGTGAAGGAAATCTTGCAGCAATACTGTGATGCTTCGGGACAGCAAATCAACACAGGAAAATCTTCCATTCATTTGCCAAGAAGTGTCAGCAAAGTGTTAGAGATGAAATAAAGTTGGTGCTTAATGTTCAGAACGAGTGCCTAAGCAAGAAGTATTTGGGGATGCCATCCGATGTTGGTTCTGCAACAAATGGCGCTTTCAAATTTTTGAAGGACAGAATTTGGAACATAGTACAGGGACGGATGGAGTAGTGCCAGTCATCGGGTGGCAATGAAGTGCTCATCAAATCCGTAGCTAAAGCAATACCCACCTACTCAATGTCGTGCTTCAAATTGCCGAGAAGTTATGCAAACATATTAATGGATTATTGAGGAAGTTTTGGTGGGGCAGCAAAAAAGGCAAGAGAATGACATGCTGAGTTGCATGGGATGACATGATTATGCCAAAATATCTTAGTGGTATGGACTTCAAAAAAATGTAAATCTTGCATTGTTGGCGAAGCAGGCGTGGCGTAATCCTTCACGACCAGCATCCCTGAGTGCCCATATTCTGAAGGCGGACTATCACCCGCAGGGTGATTTCTTGGCGGCCACCCTTGGCTCTACTCCTTCCTGGATATGGCATTTGATTTTGGATGGGAGGTAGGTTCTTCAGCAAGGGTTGATTAGGCGGATTGGGACAGGCAAAGCTACATCTTCTGGAACATGGATATGGCATCCTCCACAGCTTGTTAGTGAGCTGATCGACCACACGTCGGCAACCTGGGACGTGGCAAAGCTTCAAGAATTTTTTACGAATGCTAATAGGGAGGCGATAATGACTATACCTTTGTGCAATCGACGTCAACCTGATTTTTGGGCTTGGCATCATGATAGAACGGGGTCTTAACAGTACGTTCGGCCTACAGAATGTTAATCATAAGGCGTGTATTGTTGGAGAATGCTGGAAGATCTAATAGGAAGAGAGGAAGAAAAGGAGTGGTCTTCTTTGTGGCAGCTTCAGGTCCCTTCAAAGCTGGGTATTTTTCTATGGAGACTCGCGAGGCATTCGTTGCCATCAGCGGACGTGCTTCACCGCAGAAACATGGCAGATCATAACAACTGTGTTTTATGCGGAGCTCTGGATTCCCGGCGCCATTTCTTGCTTGAGTGCAATATGGCGAGGTGTGTGTGGGCACTAGAACGCGAAGAAATTATCGAACAATTGAGGGAGGTGCGGGAGGAAGATCGACGCCAGGGCGTGGGTGGATGCTTTGATCAAAACAGTCCCACATGGTGATCTCATGCGGATGGTTCTGACGATGTGGGCTATCTGGTATGCACGAAGAAAAGCTATATATGAGAATATTTTCCAGAGCCCGCTATCGACGCATAGTTTCATTAACAACTATGTAGCTGAATTACAAGCGTCAAAGCCACCTCGGGCGGTGAGGGCGATAGTTCAAACCAGAAGACCGAAGTGGCTGCCGCCACCAGCGGAATGTATGAAAGTGAATGTTGATGCGGCAATCTCCAAGAACACAGGAAGGCGTCTATAGCAGCTCTGGCTCGTGATCAGGTGGGGCACTTCCTGTGGGTGTCGGGTGTGGTACTGGAGGGTATCACTGATGCCAAAGCAGCTGAGGTGATTGCTTGCAGGGAAGGTTTAGCGTTGGCGCGCAACTGATCTAGCGCTGTGGTCCATCCAATTAGCTTCAGATAGTACTAATGTCATCAGAAGTATTGAAGGAACAAACATGGGTCCGTATGGCCATGTCGCGAAGGAGATTAAGGCTAGAGCCCTTGATTTTCTTTATGTTGATTTTGTTCATGAGAATAGAAAGTCAAATGTTACATTGATGCTCATGATTTAGCTAGAAGCATCATCTCTTTTGCAACAGGCAGGAATGTATGGTTGTTAGCACCGCCTGATGGCGCCTGTATTTCGTATGACCAACTCAATCAATAAAGAGTGTGGTGTTTCCTCAAAGAAAAAAGGTACTGCTTAGTCTAACTTCTCCCTCTGTTCACCATTTTCATATTATATTATGTATCAGAATCCTACTTTTTAGAATGAAGTTTTAAAAAAAAAATTTGGATATTAAACTCTTATAATATATATTTCAATTCCTACATAATTAACATTATCACAAAATCCATTTGATTACAAATCTACTTAATGCAAGTCTCAACATTGAACATATATATAGTGTAACTAACTATTTGATAAAGATACTAAAAAGAGTGTCTCAAATATGATATATACCAAGGAAAAAAAGGCTAATTGTGTTGATCAAAAGTTGCAAAAATAATAATATGTCTTACATTAATGAACGGAAACACGGCTTACTGCTTTAGCTTTACTGCATGACCGTCTCCATATTTCCATACCACACAATTAAGCTAACTGGTTCTAGCTTGTTTATGTACTGATGAATGTAACTGATAGATTCAGTTATTAGCAAATGCACGGGTGCATATGTGAGGGGACGTGCTGAGTTTGGCTATGCATTGTACTGTATGCTTAAATTAACGATAATGCTGGCACACAGGCGTCCAGACATGTTCCGTCCGGACGGCTCTTTCCGGGGCCTGCCCAACGATCGGGCCCAACAGGCCTCCTCCGCTCCACCTTCGGTACAACACGGTTTCTCAAAAAAAAACAACATTTCCTTTTCCCACCATCGCACGCATGCGGCCGCCGCGGGCGCATCCACCGCGCCGCCCACCCACCGTTGGCCTTCATTCTCCAGCCACAGCCTTCCTATCCGGACACACGCGC